GGCATTACTGTACAGTATGGAGTGCATAATGTTGAAGTTCCAGTAGTGAAGGTGAGGTTTCTATGACGTGTTAAGCAGTCTGATGGCCTCGTGGAAGAATCTGTCTCTCAGTCTGCTGGTACGGGACCGGATGCTGCAGAACCTCCTTCCTGATGGAAGTAGTGTGAACAGTTTATCACTTATCACTCACTTTGGCACAGACTCCCTAAAATTAGTATATGAGTACAAGCAAACACCACATAAGATGGTAGATTATTGGAACCACCTGAGATTAAGCCTCAAATGCAGACAAAGCAGGATTACTTCTAAGGGTCTTTAAATGAGATCTTGTGCTAACTTTCTAAAGTCTAACCTGTTGCTGGTGTCAGACAACAGCTTTTTGGATTTTTTTCAATATCTATAACTCTATTAACGCCTGAACTATTTGTTCAAACAAAAGAACTCCAACTGTTCCTGATTTTTTTCAGTGAAATATTTGACATTAGGGTCATTACAGTAATCCCACACAGCAGCAGCCCCAAGAAGATGAAGGATGGTTGAAAGAAGAGAGAGTAATGAGTTTGATGGTGCTCTACAGACAACAGAATATTTATCAGGCATTTCGATTCTTTTTATTGTTTGTTTTTGTTTTTTTTGTAATTTCTGTGTTATTTGCCAATATTTGGATTTGCCCTGTCTGTAATTAGCATAATGACCCTACCATCGCTGAAAAAAAACAACGAGTTCAAGGAGTATAAGATTATTTTTATTAGGCCCAGAGATAGATAAATGACTGGCAGTGACATTGATTTTCACTGGATTTCTTCTTTTAATGAATGAACCAGTCTGTTGATTAGTACATGCCTGAAGGTTTTGCTCTCTCTTTTTCAGCTAAACAATGGCCTCCTTTACTTGCACTGACATTTTGAAATGACAGCAAAAAGATATAAAATAAAATACAAACACTTTGAGTTAGCTTCTGAAATTAGTACTTTTTAATTTTTCATGAATTCAGCGGGGTGTGAAACTGGTTGTCAATCAAATGTTAAATTATTTTTGATCAACTGAACAACTGGTTGTGTGTATATAATTTTTTGAAGATTTGAGTCAATATTAGTCAAAAGAAAAAAAAAGAAACATAAAAAAAACTAACTGTAAATATAATGTACAACAATAGATAAGTTAATATAAAATATAAAGACAGAAGAAAGGCTGTTGTCTGTCATACATGTAAATGTGTGCTGTATCAGTACCTGCCTGTGGTTGAATGGCTTTTATTTTCAGTTTCCTAAAACAACATAACTGTTTTGGCTAAAACCACTGAAGCCTATTCAAATACTACATTATTAAAATTTTTGTTCCCCAAAGTGTTTTACTCTTACAGTAAGCCTAATTTACATTTCTAACAACCTTCTTTGGAAATTGATATGAAACTGTAATGATTATAGTGTTTTAAATAAAACAAAAGCTTTTTATACAAAACTAGCAGAAATGAAAATGACAAAACAGATGGACTCTAACTCTAGAAATTGCAAATCTGTCCACTTAACACTAAAGCTAACTTTATTTATTTATATTTTTGTCTTTTTTTCCACAAGATTACAGCTGAGGCTTAATTGCAATGGATCCAACAATGCCATTGTCACTCAGGAAAACACTCCGGTGGGATCTAAGATTGTTTGTGACAAGGACAGAACTGTCATTCCTGTGACTCCAGAGCTTTTCAATATCTTAATAAAAGTATGTTTTTTCTTAAACACAGGAACAGATGTTGAAATTTGTTGTTTATGAATGAACTACTACAAACTAAAACAACATTGCTGCATATTTCAGGTCTTCGTTATTCATCAAATGTTCTAACATGATAACCCTATGTTTTGACATCACATGTCTAGTCACATGTTAAATCTTTGATAAACAGGGACCTTTACCCTTAATGGATTAAATCAAATATAATTCTTTGTGTGTGTCTTCTGAAATTAGCTGTCTAGAGTACTTTTGCAGCAATTCATCTATAAATTCATTAATACATTTGTGGATGCTCCTTGTTTCATCCTGAGTTCTGCCTCTTACACTCACTAGCTAATTTATAGAGCAGGCATCAGCTTAATTTTGAAATTTAGTTATCAGGCTGTGCGAAATGTAACACTGCTATAACTTTATAGCATATTTAATTGTAATACATTTTAATATTTGTAAATGGACTGATTCTTATATAGCGCTTTTTTACTCTCCACTGTATACAACATGCCTCATTCACACCCACTCATGCAAGCACTTCTAAACGCAAGTGCACACAGCACACAGTACATTCACACACAGTCACACTCTGATGAACGCATCAGAGGGAGATTTGGGGTTATTATCTTGCCCAAGGACACTTGACATGCAGACTGGGGAAGCTTAGGTATAAAGATTTAAAAAGTCACATTCCTTGAAGGTCAATTGTATGGCCTGTATTTGTATAGCACTTTACTCAGTCCTTAGGACCCCAAAGCGCTTCACACGTTCAGTCATCCACCCATTCACACACTCGTGTTGGCAAGCTACATTGTAGCCACAGCCGCCCTGGGGCACACTGACAGAGGCGAGGCTGTCGGACACTGGCGCCCTCTGACCACCACCAGTAGGCAACAGGTGAAGTGTCTTGCCCAAGGACACAACGACCAACACTGTCTGAGCAGGGGCAACCTTCCGATTACAAGACAAACTGCCAACTCTTGAGCCTTGATCGCCCCATGTAAGGAATTATATGGGGGTTTCACTAAGTTTCACATTAGTTTGGACCTTTGACTCCTTCTTCAAGCTCAAATAAGGTCAAACTTGTATAAAGTGGATTTTTTCTTGAAAACTAACTGCTTGTGTTTGCACTTGCAACATTTAGGAAGTGATATTGGTATATGGGGATTATAGTTTCCAAATATCATTTGACCTAACCTTTACATTTCACATCTGCTTCTCTTTCAAATTGACCTAAAATCTTTAACAGAACGAATGTAAAGAATTAGCTGACGTATTTAGAAATTTACTGTGGCACAATAATATTTAACAAGCTCAATTTATTATACAGATATTTACATTATCAGTTTATTATCGATTTACCTACTCTTAAATAATGTTTGTGTAAAAATAAAATCCACATAAACATCTGTCATGTAATCCTAATCTAAGTTTTACTGCAGTACAAAACAAACAAAAACAAAACTAATATATACAATATCCAGTACTATTCTGTTGAAAGTAAACACTGCACAGAAGGTAGGTTGCCTTGGTTGTTGGTGTCAGAGTGCTTCTTGTTTTATCTATCATTTTAAACTTCAACTTTCAAGTATGCCCTACACTTATTGTCTCCTTCTATTCTAGGAGAGATTCACAAATACTGGGCCAAAGATTCACTTGGACTTAAAAAGAGACTGATTTTCAAAACAGATTTTGATAACAGGGACCTCATGAATCCATTGTTTTCAATAACAAAAGGGTTTGCACAGTAACTAGAACTAACCACCGTATATGTAATATCACATATATAATGATATCATGAAAGATTTCAATTCCAAGTAACTGATAATCCAGTTCTAATGTTTTAAAGGCAATCGGATTAAACAGGTCTATACATTTCCCTAAAAGTTTTAACATGATAACCTTATCACTGATCTCTTCCTACATGTTTGCCATCTTCCATTAAATTCAGTGAGCACTTGTCTTTCACACAAAGTACATTTCAAACTTTTTAAATTTTGCTCTTTTTTAATTTATAATCTGTTGGTGTCAATTCCAGGAGAATCCTTTCTCAAAAAAGAGATGGGACACTTGTTCAGTTGTTGGGAACGGTGGGATTCTGACAAACAGCGGCTGTGGAAAAATGATTGATTCAGCTGATTTTGTTATTAGGTGAGAAAGATGTCAAGAACAAAAATCATGATGAGGACTCTTCTCTCTGTAAGTAATATTTTGTTGTTTTTTTCAGGTGCAACCTTCCTCCTCTGGAAAATGAATTTAAGAGTGATGTTGGCATGAAGACTAACCTTGTGACAGCAAACCCAAGCATCTTAACAAAGAAGTGAGCCAAGAGTGACTCTAACATTGAAGTGACCTGTCAGTTTTGTCTTGTTTCTTTAACTAATATATTAATTTGCAGGTATGGGTCACTGATGGCACGTCGACGGGCGTTTGTAGATAGTCTCCACCAGTATGGCAACTCCCTGCTCCTCTTTCCTTGCTTCTCTTTTGGTGCTTACCGTGCAGTGTGTCAGCGGGCTGTGTATGCCATTGAAGACATGGAAATTCCTATCCAACCAATCTTCACAAACCCTCAATACTTGCAAAGTATGGACAAATTCTGGAAATCTCAGGGGGTAAATGGACATCGGCCTAGCACTGGAGCATATATGATTAGTCTGGCTTTGGAATTATGTGAAACTGTTCATCTTTATGGATTCTGGCCATTTAGTAATCATCCATATAAGCTCTTTCCCCTGACTAACCACTACTATGATAATGTACCCTATGATAGTAGAGTCCATGCAATGCCAGATGAGTTTTACTACTGGGTGCAACTGCACAACAAGGGCATTCTCAAGCTTCATCTTGAAGACTGTAAATCAGGTCAGGTCTAGTTTATATGATGGAATAAAATAAGAGTTTATTCAAGTGACCACCACAAAAGCCAAGACATTTGCACTGAAATCCAGTATGTGTTATTTTGATGTTACTTTAACAATCTTACAAAATATCTCTTAACTCTCTTTAAAAACCAGAGGTGACCGTGCATTTACCATCATTGCCCCTGGACTCTGGAATAATCTCCAAGTCAAAATCCCTACTTTGGAATCAATTCAATCGTTCAAATCCCGTTTAAAAACACACTTGTTTAACATAGTCTCCAAAAGTTGATTCTGTTCATCTGGACGTAGTGTTTTGTGGGAGAAAACTCATCCACTCATCCAAGTGACTTCTTCAGTCTGACTGAAGAAGTCAAGTTTAGAGTGACTAAACTTGAGCTATATTGTGTCATGGTCCTGGGTCATTAGACCCAGCATTTTTTGTTTAGCATTAGTATTCAATTCAATAAAACTTATGTTTTGGATTAATCCTTGACATCTGGTTCTTAAGGGTTTTGATATTGTGTTTATTGTTTTGTATACCTACCTGTATCCTCCCCCAGTGCTCTGTTCACGTCCCTGAGTTGTGTTTGTGAATTTCATGTTTTACTCTGAAAGTCTGTGAAAGAAAGCTGTAGGCCTTGTCAGCACTTCCTTTTTATGGCCTTTGTCAACCCCCATCACCTCACTTCAGGCTTTCTTCCTGTGGGAGGAACAAGCCACTTGGCAAATTATCTGCATTTATGTCTCCTCTACTGTCTCCCCTCATCCTTCAGATGCCCATTCTGTTGTCCACAATCTCCTCTTGATGACCTCTGCAAAGCCCCGTGGCACAGCTCTCATTCCAATTAGTGATGGGATTTCCGGCTCTTTTTAGAGAACCGGCTCTTTCGGCTCCGAACCGGCTCGTCATGTTGTTTTGTTGCTTTAATTAAGTTATTATTAACAATAAAATAAAATTATGCACAAAAAGAATTACTAATGTAAAAAAAAAAGTGGTTTTATTTATATATGTTTATATATAAATATATGTGGTGGCCCCTAGAGATAAAGCACGTACAAACTCCAAAACACATTCCTAGAGTTAACTGAACTTCCAAAACAGAGCTACCTAGATCAGTTAAATTACACAATTGAAAGCATGTGTGTATTGTTTGTGTATTTATACACAAGCACTCATATATATTCAAAAAATTTAAAAAAAAATTAATTTACCTGTTACTACCACACACCAAATCAGGTCGTTGGTACTTGCTGGCTTGTGTAGTCACCAGGTAACAAAAGCTCAACACTGCCCCTAGCATCCTGGAGCACATCTGTTGTCTTTTGTACGTGTTTTGGAGTTTTTACGTGTTTTGGAGTTTTTACGTGCTTTGTCTCTAGGGGCCACCGTAAATATACTTTTATTTATTCACTCCACATAAAATGTAATAAATAAATCATATAATACAAAAACCAACTATTCACATTTCAACTTTTAACTATTTATATTTTCAGCTTTTTTCTTTTAACCCTTGTGCGCCCGCCTGTTCTCGGGGCGTGGGTCGTGGTGACCCCCCGAGGGGCGTGTGTGTTGTTATTAGGATGATGATGGTGATGGTGGTGGTGGTGGTGGTGGGGGGGTCTTGGTAACCCACCTGGGGGGAGGGGGCATATGTGTGTTGTATGATGATTAGGGTGGGGGTCCTAGCGACCCCCTCGGGGCATATGTGTATATATTCAATTCAATTCAATTCAATTCAATTTTATTTATATAGCGCCAAATCACAACATAAGTCGCCTCAAGGCGCACACACATATATATGTGTTATGATGATGATGATGATGATGACGATGATAGGGTTGGGGTCGCTAGGACCCCCACGGGGCATATGTGATGATGATGATGATGATGATGATGGGTTTGGGGTCGCTAGGACCCCCCGGGGCATATATGTGTTATGATGATGATGATGATGATGACGATGATGATAGGGTGGGGGGTCCGCTAGGACCCCCGCGGGGCTCTTGTGTTATTACGCCGTTGGTGGCGTCTGGGGAGCGGCAGTGCGGGAAGAAGCGGCGCAGTTGGGACAGTACGTGACGGCGCAGTTGGTGCACATGTGCACTCGGCACTCGTGGCACAGGATCTTGGTCTTGACGTCTTTGCTCCTGGGACACACGCAGCACCTTCGCCTCTTGACCAGAGAGGAGTCGCGTGGCGTAGCGTCAGAGGCGGCGGCATGAGCATCGTGCTCGTCGGCGTCGGCACCGTCGGCCTCGGCGGTAGTGCCTCGGGCCGCGATTCTGCCTCCTCCTCCTCCTCCTCCTCCTCCTCTGCCTCCTCCTCCTCGCGCTAACACCCTGGCTTCGAGCATGGGGCGCGCGAGCGCTTTGCCCAGTCGCTCGAGGAAGAGCCTTCGCTTGTTGAGCTTGCCCGGCATCCAGTCGGGGTGAATTTCCCTCCACAGCACGAACGCGTTGTAGGCCGCGACGTCGACCATGTTGTGGAAAAGGGCCACGGGCCACCTGCGGGTCTTTCTCCTGCAGCTGTACGTGCTCACGACCTTGTCCAGGTTGTCGACGCCTCCTTTGGTTCGGTTGTAATGCAGCACCAAGGGCGGTTTTGCGCTGCTTCTGTTGCTGCCGCTGCTTCTGCTGCTGCTGCTGCTGCTGCCATTGCTGATGCTGTTGCTGATGCGGCGGCTAGGCCGGGGCTCGGGGCCGGAGCGATGGCGGTGGTGGTGGTGGTGGTAGTGGTAGCGAGGAGTGGTGGTGAGGAGCAGCACGTTCTTGTTCTTCTTGGCCACGTAGGAGAGGATGATCGTGTTTGGCCCTCGTCCTCCTCCTCGTCCTATTCCTCCTCTTCCTCCTCCTTCCCCTCGTCCCGCGGAGCCGGCGAGTACTACGGATTCGACGGAGCCCACGGCCCTGCCCTTGACGCAGCACAGCTCTCTGGGGATCTCGGGTCTGTTCGATCGCAGAGTGCCCAGCACGGTGTGGCCTCTCTCGCGATAGAGCCTGTCGGCGAGCTCGCGCGAGGTGAAAAAGTTGTGCTTTTCGTGGCCAGGTGCTTTTCGGGAGGGCCGCGCTTTTCGGGCTTGCCGGTGTACACTTGCATCTTCCACGCGTAGCTGGAACGCGCGTCACATGCCACCCATATCTTGATCTCGTACCTGGCCGGTTTGCTGGGCATGTACTGCCTGAACGGACACCTTCCTGGTGGCGAGAGAGAGAGAGAGAGAGAGAGAAAGAGAGAGAGAGAGAGAGAGAGAGAGAGAGAGACGTGAGTTTGACAGAGAACACAAACACGTGCAAGCGTGGACGATAAAATCGTGTAAAAGCACAGCCGCAGAACCCGACGACGACAATAGCAGAAAGCTAGTGTTGTCTTTGTTCCTGCTCCTCTTCCTCCTCTCATCCGCACGCCACACACACACACACACACACACACCCACCACGTACCTCTGAACGGCACCAGTCTCTCATCGACGGTGACCTCCCGTCCCGGGCGGTACATGGCGGGCAACCTCGCGCACCACTCGTCCCACACGGCTCTGATGGGGGGCCAGTTTGTCGTAGCTATCGCTGACGCCGCCGCCGCCCTCGCCTCGCCCGGCTCGTCTGGTCTCTCTGTCGTCGAAGCGCAGCGCGCTCGAGTAGGCTCGAAAGGTCTTGAGCGGCATCGTGGCTCTGAACACGGACCTGCCGCTCTGGGCGTCCCACAGGCTCTCGCAGGCCTCTCCCTGGGACCTGTACACGCCGGCGAGCACGAGCAGCCCCACGTAGGCTCGACGCGGCCCATGGGCTTCCATCCGTCGATGGCGGGCCTGCACCTGTCCGCTTACAGGTTGGTCATGGCGATCACCGAGTTCTCTATCTCTGGCGGGAAGTAGGCCATGAACGAGGAGGCCTCGTCTCGCGCCGCCGCCACGGCCTCTTCGGTGGGGCCTCGTCCTTGCGGGTCGAGGTCGTCGTTGTCTTCTTCCTCCTCTTTGTCGTCTTCGTCGTCGTCGTCGTCTTCTTCTTCTTCCTCCTCTTTGTCGTCGTCGTCTTCTTCTTCCTCCTCCTCTTTGTCGTTGTCTTCTTCTTCTTCCTCTTCCTCTTTGTCCTTCTCTTTGTCGTCTTCTTCTTCTTCTTCTTCGTAGTCTTTGTCTTCATAGTCTTCGTCTTCTTCTTCATCGTCATAAACGTCATGATCGTCATAATCGTCGGCTACATCTGCGTCGCGAGTTTCACCGACATCGCAATGCCCGCGATCGTGCCCAAGATCATCAACGCCACCTGAAGCACGGCCGGCGTCCTCCCACCAAAGCTCCGAAACCCCCTGCCCGCAGTCGACGTCTTCTTCGTCTTCTTTGTTTGCTTCTTCTTCTTCTTCTGTGTCTTCGTCTCCTTCTCTGCCTTTCGGCTCGCCTTGCGAGCCATCAGCCTGGCATAATTGCAACCGAATTTCTTGGCTGTGATCGCGTAGGCCGCGCACACCGCCCGGGAACCCATGGTCCGCTACCTCGTCGTCTTCGCCCTCCTGCTCCTCCGAGCGGCGCTCCTCCGAGCGGCGCTCCTCCTCTGCGAGCGTTCGGGCTGTCGAGTCGTTATACTCCTCGGCCTCTTCCTCTTCTTCTTCTTCCTCCTCCTCAGAGTCCTCCTCAGAGTCCTCCTCCTCAGAGTCCTCCTCCTCAGAGTCCTCCTCCTCAGAGTCCTCCTCCGAGTTCTCCTCTTGTTGTTGCTGCTGCTGCTGCCGCCGCCGCTGCTGCTGCCGCTCTTTGTCTTCCTCGACCCCTAGCCCTCGATAGCGAAACGTGGCCGGTCTCAACAACGGAGCGACCGTAGCCCACCCCACGTACGCCAAACGCGCTGGTGATGGTGATGGTGATGATGATGGTGATTGCGACGGCGACGGTGATGGTGAGCGGGAGGAGGAGGACGACGATGACACCGCCGGCGATTGCGATCCGCCTGTACCGACCTTAGTGCTCTTTGGCTCCCACGGTCTAGTGCGTGACATTGTCTTCTTCGTCTTCTTCGTCTTCTTCTTTCTCGTTGGCACCTTGTTGCCGTTGTTGTTGTTGTTGT